TCTAGAACTATCTTTTGATATACTTAAAACTATCTTAACTTCTAACACTAGTGATTTTTTATCAACACATAGTTAAGATTTAAAACAAAAACCAAAATATATCTCACCTTTCACACCACAATGAAGTAAAACTTCTGAGAATGTTTTCAAAAAAATATTTTGTGGTCTCTTAGATCATTTTTCTTTCAAAAGGAGGTTGTCTAGAAAGCATCTTTCCTATTAACTACTCGAGTCGGTTCCGTTCCGCAACCTTCAATTTAATATCATCTAAAAAAACAAAGAACTATCAAAACACACAAAATATACTCCGTTCCGCAACATTCAATTCAAGATCATCTAGAAAAACAAATAACTCTCAAAACACACAAAATATACTCAAAACGCAAAAACCCTCCAGACTTCATCCTGCAAAAATGCAAATTTGAAATTTAGCAAAATGAGCAGTACATTCTTTACTATACGTTTTCTCAATAAAGCTCTTGAAAGAAAAAACTCAGTTCAAATGAAATACAACCAGTCAATATGAAATACAAGTTTGTAATACATGCAATACACTTTATAATACGCAATATCATTAATTCAAGTACAACTTTAAATTACATTTAGTATAATTTTTGAAATATATATGGTACAATTGTAGTACAGTTTATAATACATAGTACAGTCAACTGTGATACAACTTTGAAGTATATGTAGTACAGCTAATTGAAACTACAGTTTACACACACACTATTTTATATACTAACAGTGTAATATATGACAAATGGATATCAAATCAATCATATTTGAATGATCTATCATTTAAAAATAAACATAAGATCATATCTAAACCACACATTAAAATGGATCCTATATTATTTATGTTTTTTTTCTAACTTATATTCACACAAAACACTAACCGCATAGTTGTGTCGAGCCTAATGATATATGGATAGCACCGTTATCCATAAATCACTTGTGATTATGATAGTCTGTCGAATTTGTTAATGTAAGATCAAAGTTGTCCACATCATCATTGTAGTGTACTTTTTTATGTCATGCATGATGGAATTGATCAACTCTATGAGCAAGTAGAAGCAAAATGCTTTCCTTGTCATGCATTCAACAAGCAATACTGTTATGTTCATGAACCTGATGATATACCTGGGATCTTGAAGTTTCGTTACTTCTTGTCATGTATCTACGATTACCAAATTGTTCCTCATTTCACTAACAACTTCTACTATACTCACGTCTCATTTATGCAAGTTGCCACCGTAAAGCTTGAGCTGTATCTTCTTCTCCAAATAGCTGATTTTTCATTTGTTCTATGTGTATTTCAATGATCAGTTTAGAGACAATCTTCTCCCAAAAAATAATTTATTTCAAAATAACAATGACTTGAATAACTCTCTTGTAAGATTGTGATACTATATTTAGAACGATTGAAGTCATTGTCTTGTCACTCATTTACTCTTCCATTGAGAATAATTTGTTCATAAACACTCTTGCTTTCTCTATGTATTGTGTAACGGATACTCCTTCCATTGTCTTGAGTGAGTGTGATTGCTGGGACGAGAGAAGTATTTGCCCTTGATCACATGATTGGAAATTATCCTCCAGTACTTGCCAAACTTAAGTCGTATCATCATTTTCAAACACTAGAATAACAAGATGATCAATTACATTCATTGTAATTGCTGCATGTGATGTACTCTTCAATCTCATCAAATGTATCTTGTTTACAAGTATGCCATTGCCATGCACCGTACATGTCCAGATATTTGGCTCTATGCGGAGGCCTCTTAAGGCCATTGTGGAAAGTGCAAGGCGCAGACATTGAAGAGATTTGCGTTTGCAAGGGTTTCCAACTCCATGCTCTAGTATGGTCTTCACCAGGATTTTCAGCAAAGAACAGTAGAGTTTAGGCAACACATTACGACAGGAGTAGAACATACTTTGTGCACATAACCTTACCTATAACTTGACAAGATAAATGGGACGAATTTGCCTCGAGCAGAGGATATGCATGATCCACATTATCCTCCTTAGCATTCAATCCAGAGAACCTTCACTCGTCTGGTCTGCTAATATGGAATAGGACAGCACCAGTGACGCAATCACGCGTCATCTAGCGCAACCATTTTCCAAAAAGTCAGCGGACGATGATCATGTTTATATAGGTGGCGACTGACAGTTTGGGTGATCTTAGCGGAAGATAGAGATTGTTTACTGACGAACTCATTCCTTATAGTGACAGTTTAGTGACTTAGACTGGTAGTTGTTGACGTTATAGTTGTAAACAAAATGTGAGGTACACGTGGCTTTCGACCCCGTATTCCAACCTCGTATACTTGGATCGAAACTACTTTGTTTCGATCCAATTTGATAACAAGTATCTTAGACTTATGCAATTTTAAAACCAAAACGTGATCCCTGTCCATATGTAGCTTCATTCCGTTGACATCTTTCACACACTAGTGATATAAATGTCTTAGATTTCTTCCGTTCTCTTGATTTATGATGAGAACTATGATGATTGCATATGATAGAAAGTCAACAAAACTGAAATATTTCAGACTGAATCCTCCCCAATTTCTGGCTTTCATGTACAGGTAAAGCCAGGCATTGATTCACGATGTACATAGTTGAGAGACTCACTAGCATAATCTTGTAGAGTCGAATCACAATCCCGTCATGATCTAAAATCTTCTATTTCCTCCAAACAATCGAATGAGAGGTCTTATTTACAGAAGTTACATAGGCTGGTTATTCCTGAACTGATGCTGTAAATTTGTTCGCACACGTTTTGAGAAAAAAAATTTGCATGCAATTCAACAAGCAAATATACACCTGCCCATCAACTTTGAATGACCCACAGCTATTTACAGGCAGCCATTATTTTAACACCAGGACGTGGAAGATCTACCTTCCTTTAATCCGGAAATATACAATGTACAGAACTATCTCTTTTCACATTCACAGAAGTCATTTCAGATGTCAATCCGATGTTGACCGACCTGATCAGCCCGTATCCTTAAGTAGACCCCAATGCGGAGGTCGTTGACATTAGCTCATTTGATTCCCTGATATAGACGAAAAGAGCTTGGCCACGTGTCTTGCTTTCTTTCTGAGGTCACGTGAGCACACTTTCACGGTAGGAGTCCTTTCCAGGAGCTTGAGAGCACTCTAGGAACGAGTTCATATGCGGTCAGGACATGACGCCGTCCGGTTCTGAAATCAGCACGCAAAGGCATATCAATTTGTCTCCGTTGACGGAGCTACTGTCAAATATGTTACGTTCCAAACGTCGAATCTCATTTGACCAGCGTTGCGTTCTTAGCCACCACTCTGACACAAGTCTCCAAGTTTTGATTGCTACTGAAGGTAATGATTGAACTCAATCAAAGACTAATCTCTCAATAGAAAAAGTAGCGGTTGAGAAGAGCTGTGACTTGAAGTCTAAGCGTAAATATATATTCTGCATTCTCAGTTGGAGCGATGACGAATAATCTCTTCTTATCTGTAACTTGAACATCGGTATATCTGATGCCGCTGATACATGCATGAGCACTTCACTTACGCTAGTGACCAGCGCACTGTGATAAGCGTTATGAACCCTACAGACGCTGGTTGTGGTCACATTGACTTCACGAACATGCATTGCATTTATCTTCAAATGTTGTCCCAAAAATGTAAAGATTCATCTACTAGGACAAACGCACATACACCGTCGGACAAGAAGTTAGACATCTCTGCATTGAAAGCATTTATCATGCAATCGACGAAGTGTGTAAAGCAAGCAGAGTCAAGTTGATTGTCCACCAGGAACATCAAGTAGCCTTTCCGTTCCAGCCCCAACAGTGAAATCTTTATGTGAATCCCTTTTCTCATTCATAACTTTATGCTCACTTTATTCTCACGCAGCATTCTCTTGTATTTGTCGCCCCAGTCATAACTATCTAAGAAACTTGTAGATAGACAAAATACTGTTCTGCAGGATCAGATATAAGCCAGTAGAAGTACTCGAACGTATCAAAATGAGTTTTACAAAACTTATCTTTTGGTCGAGTTCATCGTCAACGGGTGTCGCTTACAAGTGGACGATGAATTCGCAAATCCAGATTACAGGCACATCGTAGGCTTTGACTTGTACTCGTTTTAAGACCTCGTATCTCATCTGGGTGGATTTCACCTCTTGTTACTATTTGTGTGTCATTAAGCTGAATATAAACATCAAATCAGTTTAGATTCGAATCTAACCTGATTTGATGATTTGAAGAAAGGATTCAGACAAGCAACTGCAAACCGTTTTCTTAAGCTAATTTTAGGACCTTGAGATTATGAATGCAAAGGCCTGTCTCTGACTTGGGAAATCGACGTGTTCCACTGATCCGGAGAATGGAAGTAATCGTCGCCGAAATTTCCACCGGTACCTTGAACCGAGTTGAAAACTTGTATTGACTTGATGAGACAGATGAAGCAATTTCAAAATACTGGTCTATCCACTGCCTTGTAACACTGCTTGTAACTACCACGGGATTTGGCTTAAGAAAGCGTTTCACTCCGAGCTTTCTAAGGGCAACCACCAAAAAATCAATTTCGTCATGTTCTCATCCAAAGGAAAGCTAGACATCTACATCATAGCTCATAAATCTCACAACTGGTTCACTTTCCATTGAACAATGAGTTCACTCAAACCAGAAATGGTTTGACATGGATTGAATTTTAAGGTTGTTCGTGCTGTTCTGGATTCGAGATAAGATGCATCTGGATCCGGAATGACCTTCAAAGAATGATGAACATCTTGTGGAAAACTGTGGTAATTTCCTGTTCAACTTTGATTTGTGCATCTATGCCCCATTGCTAACGCGGTCTCACAGCGGAGCCAGTGTCCACAAGAGTAACAACTTCGTGATTTTCTATATATTTACTCTAAGCATTTTGAAGTACATAGAGTGACCTCACCTCGTAAACAAGCACCAGGGCCTATATATACCACCTCTTATTCAGCAACAACCACACTCTCTCTGTACTCAGTTCAAGTATCAGCTTGCACCACTTCAGCATCCCTCACAGTGCCTGTCCACCACTTCCATCTCTTCGATCAGAATGAGGACCGCTCACTTCATTGCTATCGCTGTCTCGCTGCTTGCTGCAGCCACCTTCGTCGCAGCCACCGGATACTCCTCCAGCCTCATCAATGACTGCGATTTCGACGTCAAGGTCGACATCGTCCTCATCCCTGGCCTGCAGCTCGGGTCGCTGGGTCTCATCACCGTCGTTGCGCACACCGTCCAGTCCGTGCTGTACACCATAACGGGCCTCGTCTCCAGCCTGCTCGGCCTGACCTGGAAGATCTCCGCTGTGATCGACGGCGTCCTGTGCACCGTCAACGTGCTGGTGCCCGTCAATGGGACGGTTCACATCGTCCAGACGGCGGCTGGCACAGTCGCAGTCCTCGTCAACAATGTGGTCAAGGGCTACCTTCTTCAATGTGAGTACAGAAACCTCTCATCCACGAAGAACAGCTCCGCAGTGTGCAGTGTTCATGTCTTGTTTCACATCACATCTCTGATGTCATTGAGCTTATTTCGTAAATCAGTCTATCCCGATGAATTTAGATGTGTTCATTCTTTATCTGAATGATTTGGCAAGCAGACAAGTGATTTTTCACTATTATAATGGAAGGAATTTGACATGCATGTTTCGCATGTAAATTGCAGAATCTATACGCGGAAGCCGAGGGTCAGAAGCAGGTCTGGTGATTCTTGATATAGACGAAATAATACAGATTTATTGTTTTCATCCATTATTGGACCTTTGTATGGCCTGGCACGAATCCATACGATGGATACGCCATTCTATTGACAATTGTACCTCATCCTATATATGAATTTAAGCCCTTCGCGAGGGGAATGTTTCCTTCCTTCAAACATCGATGAAAACGAGGACTGAATTCTCAGCGTTGAGCATGCATTCCTATCTGCGCTGGTTAGTTCTTTGTTCGCCTCCTTCTTTCTAAACTGTCTGTTTCATCACATCTGATATCTCATGAAACAATTCGAACGTTTTACTGATCCTGCCTCATCCCCAAATGGTAAGACTTAGGTCAAGAAATTGGTACCAGACCAAGGCTATCAGCATGGTTTCATTGAGGTATGGTCTTTTCTTTGTTTCTGCGCCCGACCGACAATTCAAGGGCATTACCACGTCGGCAATGCACGATACACCAGATCATCCACGTCAGTCAGAGCAGAGTACAAACGAAGTCGTCCACTGTGTAAACCACAGACAACAACTGCATAATTAGCGCGGCTGCCGGCATCAGCGATGATAACAGCAGACGTCCCAAACCTACAACAATGTCGACGTTCACGTCAAAATCTCAATCATTGACATGTCCATATTTAATTGTGGCTTCAGCAAGCAAAGAGGCCACGATAGCATTGAGGTGCCTAATCTTCATGTTCATCAGAAAGAATTGTGGATGATTTTCTGGACTGAAAGGGGCTATTGAGCTGCTACAGGGTGTTTCACTGATCGACTGGAGCAAGAGTTTCACGAAGGTCAATGTACGGTCTGTTGAAACCAAATCCCATCTTAAAACTGAACGCAGTTGTCCAAATAATTTTAGGATGTTTTTTACGACAACAAACCATAATCAATGAGGAGTTAGTATTGCATGTCATACTTCAAGTCACGTCGATTCAACACTCTTCTTTGGTACAACTTGCAGTCTGGAGCATACTCTTTCGATGATTTGAGGTAAGCTGAACGACGGGCATCGAGCACAGAATACATTTCACCATCTCGCACAAATTAATCCTTTATGTATACAGTGACTATCGAGAAGAAGATGATGAATGTGCATGTCCCGACGTGCTTGAAAGGATGCTGTTTGTACCTACAGTGAACTCCGAATCATTGATGAGCACGAGGAAATGAAATGAGTGCATTTTTTCTGGTGAGGTTGATGAAGAATAATCGGGAGGGTAATTAACCCTCAACAACTCAAAACCACTGGACTGCGTTTGCAGTACTCAGTCCAATTGATTGAAAGGTGGGCCGTCTTTGGTGAGAAGAGTCAATTGATTCGTTGCAGCTAAATGTCTTTGTTCTCTGAACAGAGACAGCTAAGGTCAGTTCACTTTATAAAACTTACTGTAGGCAAATACAGTTGGCTTCGAAGATCCTATCCGCTGTCAAATTTCAGCTGTCAAATATTTGTCCGGACAGATGCACATGTCGCGACGAGAACTTCTACTTCGTGTACGTGGAATGAAGCTGTTCTTCTGACGGGATTGAAGATATATTTGCTCAAGTGTAGGACTATATGTCAATCCGATGGTCATGAAACTTGAAGCGGCACGCGAATGGGAGTCTGTTGGCTGGTTAGGACGTCTGAGGCCACGGTCGACTTCTCTTTCGTGCCTTTTACATTAGATCGTAATTTTGCTGATAGTTCATAGAGTGAAATCCTGGTATACTCGAGGTGTTTTCTAATGTTTGAGAAGTTGGTGATCAAAGTACTTCCGGGATGAGCTAATTTGAGTTCTCAATTTCACTTGCGCATGGTATAACAGTTCTAGTAAACCACTCGTTAAAATAACATCATAATGGCTGTGGATTGAGTTGAATATCATGACGCAGCCTCAGGACTCATGAGTTACAAATCTAGTCATGGAGATGGAAATGAAGTTGCTGAAGGACACACAATTGCAGCAATCGCAGTGTGTGAATGATCCTTACAAAAAAATATAGATCTCGAATATATTCATTCAAGCAAATTTCGATTCGCTGTCCCGCATATTATAATCACTGAAGTTTCAGGCTCCAGCACTCTTTCATCGTTGGACTGAATTCTTTAACCTTCAAATGCGTTTTTGTTTAGGAACTGAGTTCATTCCTCTTGAGAAATTACTTCAATGAAAGTTGATACATTCGATATCCCCTTGGAGCGCAGAATATAATGCACGTGCATGTGGAGTGTACGTGAACGTCATTGGTAGAGAATGGAAACATTGAACGTAGAACGAGAGGCAGTGACATGTATAAAATTGTAGCTGCATTATATAGAAACCTCATCATACGAACAGATAGTGGCAAATGGTGAGCGTATACATACATCTCTTTGGCTGTACACCGACGGCTGTTGATGCCATTCCTTGGAAAGTAAGGGCGAAGCACTTGACTACGTTTTTTCCTTGAAGTGCCAACTGGAGTTGGCACTTCAACACGTATTTCTGAAATTAATAAAGAGCTCAGGAAACACATTTCCACACGAGTAAAACACAGGTTTTCCAGATGACGTCATCTTCAACTTGACAATAGAAATGGGATGACTTTTCTTTTAACAGAGCACATGCATGATTAAGCCTCGGCAAGGTAAGGTAACCCTTTAGGGTTACCGTGTAAAATGTAAAGATGATACATTTGGCTATAGGGTAACGTAAAGGTAGGGTGAAGGTAGAGACTCGCGGGTTACCAGGTAATTACCGGGTAACCCATAAAAAAAAATGTGGACAAAAGAATGTCAAAAAAATGTGGACATTCTTTTGCATGACTCAAAACCTGACTAACTCTGAACAGACCTACAACCAGATTCAGCAATATTATGCGATGAAGTCAAGGAATTGATTCAACTCTTTCAGACTATACTGTGGTATGCGAAGCTAAATTTGCATGACACTGCATGATGTTACTAGTTTAAGTAGAAAAGCAATCACTTTCTGCAGTTTTGTAATCTGACGATGAAGTCTTTTAATAGAAGTCATAAAAGCGTTGGCTTGAGTAGTTGTTCAGCTCAGTTATAATTCATAGATCTTCTGCCTGTTTTTTTATTCTAATTAGATCTGGAATTAAAAAAACTAAAGAAGATATACCTCTTGTCAACGTTAAGAGTCAGCATGGTTGGGATTCGAGTTGAATCGTATGGTCGAGTGAAGGAGACTTTATCTCCATCCGAGTGAACCAGTTGAAAATGGGTTCCACTTGGATTGAAAATTTTTGGTCAGAATGAGATAATTTAGTATCTAAAATGGGGGAAAGCCGCTTCTAATGGCTACGGAGTTCAATCCTTCATTCATACTGCATATAACAAAATAATTCATGTTTCTCATGATTGAGGTATTCTCTCTCTTCTATTTTTGTTTTACACACACTCTCTCAAGCACTAATGCTAAATAGGAAGTGAAGAAGAAACTTAGAAATAACAAATATCTGATCCATTGGCAACATTCCAATTCATGTCACAGTCACTACAAAGGAAGCAGTTATTCATCGACAACGAGGCAGTAGACGTCTCATAATGTTACAATAGAGAATCAACATGTAGCTTAAAAAACGCATTCAAAGAAAACCAGAAACCGCATACCCCCAGCAGAATCTTTATATGATGCGTCCAAAACTAAAATTTTTTAAATCTTTACCAGGTAACCGGGTAAGTACCCTGAGGTAGAGGTAAAGTGTAACGTAACCCATAGTGTTAGTGTAAAGTAAAAGGTAGGGTAAAGGTAGAGGCTTACCCCGTTACCTTGCCGAGTCTTATGCATGATACACAAGATTCTTATTCGCATTCGACCAAGAGAATTTCACGTGTCTAATGTGCTGTCGTGGAATGGAACAAGACATGTGATGCTGTATCAACCGTGACCGGGCACAACCATGTAGAGAAGAGTCAGAGGGCAATGATGACGCTCATGCTCGTGGAGACGGCGACTGACAAATTGCAGGAGGGTTAGTCAACGAAAATTGCAGTTAGGGTGACCTCAACGGAAGATAGAGTTCGTTTTTGAACGACCTCATCGCCTGCTGTGTGAACCCAGTGCTAGTGCCATCTTTGATACCAACACTTGAAACTCGGCTGATACTTGTCAATCTCTAGTTTTGTCCCATTCACATCTTTGTCAGACAAGTGATTTCATCGCCCCATGTTTAAGATACTTACCATTCCGTTGCTATCTTGCGACAAAAAGTCGACAGAGCCCAAGTACTTCGATCCTGTAGGAAACGACGATGAGAAAAAGAAGTTTTACATCGAGCTAAACTGAGAGAGCGTTGCCTTCCCAGAACCAACAGGCTGCGGAACTCCATGCTCTAGAATTGACATTTTGAAGGAGTTATCTACACACAGTCAAAATTTTAACTCCGTGACTTCGAAGAGCTATCTTCCTTTGCTTCGGAAATCGACAAATAGAGAATTCTCTCTTTCCAGTATGAGATAAGTCATTTTAGATGCCAATCCGATGAGAACTGATCTCCTCACCCCATCTGTAGACCCCGTGAGGAGGTCTTTGACGTTAGTTCGGTGGATTCCCTGATATAGACGAAATTGGCTTTGCCACGGGTCTCGCTTCCCGTCTAAGGTCACGTGACGTTTACTCCAACTCGTGAGCACACTTTAGCAACAGGGGGGACCTTTAGAGGGGCGATTTTGTGTCTATCGAGTCATAGGCTATGACTCGATAGCACTCGAGCCAGCAGTTGATGTGCAGTCAAAGACCTGCCGCTGTTAGGATAAAAAATCAGCACCGCTGGGTACAGCAGTTTGTCTTCGTTGCCCAGTTAAGAGCCCTGTAAATGAGGAGTGATTTTCCATCTTGAAACGTTGATACCACAATTGCGTTGCGTTCTTACATCGCCGCATACAATGGGTCTGACACAAGTCTCCTTATTCCGGTGCCTAATGAATGTGATGATTGACCTCACGATAGAAAAAGTAGCCGGTGAGAAGAGTTGCGACCTCGAAGTCTAAGCGTGCATATATAGATTCGGCCTACTCAGTTGGAGCGAAGAAGAATCTCCTTTATTCTTTGACAATGATAAAGATCGGTAGATGTGATAAATCTGATACATACATGAGCACTTTAGTGATCCCGGTAACCAGTGCAATGTAACGAATGTTTACTACTATACAGATGTTCGGTGCGGTCACATTGAGTTCACTTACAGTTGTCTCATCCCAACAGCTGGACACAATACTCAGGAACGGTTTATCGTTAAATGTTGTACTAAACTAGTGATTACTTGTCTAAACATGAAATTTCCCGCTCTATCACTGTAAAGAAGAAGTACAATGGTTTTTCTCCAGGTGCTGATGTCTAGAGTTAATTACGTCAGACGCACATACATCGTTGGACAAGAAGTTGGACATCTCTTTATTGAAAGCATTTATCATGCAGTCGACAATATTGTGTAAAGCAAGCCCAGTCAAATTGTTTCTCCACCAGGAACAGCAAGCAAGTGGGCTCTACGTTTCATCCCGTTTCAGAGGGTTATAGTATGAAATCTTCTTCCTCATCCATCAATTTTCTGCTCACTCTATTAGAACAAAGCATTCGGTTGTTCTTGTCACCCCAGGCAAAGCTATCTAGGTAACCAGTAGATCTAGAGAATGTTGTTCTGCACGACGATCAAATCCATACATGTATTCCATGGATGAGGTGCACTGCACCTGTTAACGTTGATCCATGCACTCACAGTGCTTCGTCCTGCTGCTCTGCATCCCGTCTAAAATCTGATGAATGTAATTTGTTAACCACGAGTTACTGCAATAGTCGTTTTTTGGACGGGTCTGTAATGATTTGATGATGGCAAAGTCGGGAGATCATCTGCTCATGAGAACTGGAGCATTTAGTCACAGAGAGTTAAGCCCAATTGCAGTACTGTAACAGTTCTTAAGCTGAACTTGAAAAGCTGGGAACTAGCACCCACGACTGCGTTCCTAAGAAATTCATCAGGTGTGACATCAGTGAGACAAATTGTAGTACACATAGACTCTACGAAACCTGGCGAATAAATAAGTGCTCACTACAGGCTTCACTCATATCTATCTTAGTAATAATAATCTCAGCTACGACAAAGTTAATAAAGCTATTTCCAAGGTATGTCCTTCATCGGTACCATGGTGTCGCTTGACCGTTTCATGGCTTAACCATACATTCAGTTTGTATATTTCTACCTAATTGATTCATGTACACAGCAACTTAAGCTGAAAATCAAAATCAATCAAATCAAATTAAATCACAATCAAATCCATTTGCAGATGAAAGTACCATATACACCGAAATTCGTTCTAACTTTTCACGGCCACCAACAAAAGATCTGGGCGATCAATTAAATCGTCTAGAACTATCAAACAGGAAGAAAAAGTTTACAAAATTTACCTTCTAGTGGGGCTCCTCGTGAATGGTCTCGCTTATAAGCGGACGATGAATTCGCGAGCTCAGATTACAGACCCTAAGTACACTTTCAATTGAAATCGTTTCAGATCTTATTTGGCTGGATTTTCTTCTTCTAACTCTAGCTGGAAGTAATTTAGCTGAATATTAACATAATTCAGTTGAAATTCTTACAAATATCTTGACAACTGGAAAGCATATTCTTGTGCTGATTTTTGACCTTGAGATCATGAATGCAACGGATTTCCTCTGACTTGGGAAGTCGACTTAATCCATTGATCCACAGATTCCTCGCCGAGCTTTGAACCTGTAGCTTGAACGGTGAACTTACTCAAACCAGGAATACTTTGACATGGACTGAAACTTCGAAGGTTCCTTGTGGTTTTGTTTGCGGAGATCAGAAGTATTCTATCTGGAATACTCTTCTGAGAATTTGGAGGTCCTCTTGTACGAACAAACTGTTGGGATTAAATGGTGAAATGTGACTTGTGCATATGGAGCACATTTTTCATGCCTTTACACGAGTAACATCTTCACACGTTTCAATGTAATTTCTTCCTCCAAAGGTATTATCTCTTTGCAGTTTGTGGGAGATACAATGACCTCATCTTGCAATTCAGCACCCGGGGCCTATATAAACCACCTCCTATTCAGCAACAACCACACTCTCTCTGTACTCAGTTCAAGTATCAGCTTGCAGCACAACAGCAGCCTCCTGTTCACTCTCAGTGCCTGTCCACTTCCATCTCTTCGATCAAAATGAGGACCGCTCACTTCATCGCTATCGCTGTCTCGCTGCTTGCTGCAGCCACATTCGTCGCAGCCACCGGATACTCCTCCAGCCTCATCAATGACTGCGATTTCGACGTCAAGGTCGACATCGTGCTCATCCCTGGTCTGCAGCTCGGGTCGCTGGGTCTCATCACCGTCGTTGCCCACACTGTCCAGTCCGTGCTCTACACCATAACGGGCCTCGTCTCCAGCCTGCTCGGCCTGACCTGGAAGATCTCCGCTGTGATCGACGGGGTCCTGTGCACCGTCAACGTGCTGGTGCCCGTCAATGGGACGGTTCACATTGTCCAGACGGCGGTTGGCACAGTCGCAGTCCTCGTCAACAATGTGGTCAAGGGCTACCTTCTTCAATGTGAGTATCTCGAAACCTCTCATTCCCCACGACTACCTACGTGGTACTGAGTGAGCAGTGCTCAAGTCTCGTTTCACACCATAACTCCGAGCTCATGTTCTGTGTTCAGTTCCTATTGAAATTTTGTTTTTCAACTACTCCTCAAAGGAATGTGAGTCTCATGTCTGAAACGTTTCGTGGACTCGCTCGTTGTAAATTGCAGGATCTATACGCGGAACCCCACTGTCAGAAACAGGTTCGGTACTCGCTGGTGAAGACGGATGGGAAAAATTTGAGTCATACAATCCTCTATCAGACCTGTATATGGCATAGATCTAACTGCTAGGATGGATACGGTCCGCTCTTCACAATTGTAATATATCGCATAAATATTACTAAAGCAGTTCAACAAGGCAATGCTTTCCTTTTTTAATTGCATTCCTGTCTATTTTGGTTGACTCTGTTGTAACTTACATTCTAAGCGTATATAATCCTCATATCTTATTTGCGGTCTCACTGATCCTGCTAAATTAGACTTCATTCCCAAATTTATGACGAAAGGCAAAGCAGCCGTAAAACAAGTCTTCGATGGGAACTGATACTGCTAGATACACGTTTGCAATATCGGAAATAGAAAGTAATGAGCATCTTCTGTGTCGAATGAGCATTCACGACTGTCATTTTTGCAGTTGAATGTTCTTTAAAGTTTCTACCATCGTTCAAACTTCCTGGTTAAAACTGGACATAAATCACAGTTCCTAATCTGGATCATTCTTAGCGGTATGTGTAATGAATTTCTAAGAGGTCTACTGATCTCACAGAAATATATTCAAGTGACGCGAAACCCTGAGACGATAGTCATCAGAGAAGAAGGTATATATGAATCTTCAATATATGACTATATATGAATACTATATATATGAATCTGGTTATAGCCAAATATGGCAGCAATTACAATTATGAATTCTATATCGACAAATAGTTATGCTCTCAATACTTCTCATTTGGTCTTGTGTGGTGTCGAGCATATCAGCTCTCAGACATTCTCTGAACTAAACATTTTGGCGATTAAATGAAGAGAATCATGCTCACTGTGATGGACTGAGCATCTATCTATCCTAATTCTATGATTCTGAGGAGTCGAACAAGCAACGATTCATCGTACAGCAAATAACATGTTCATGATTCGCATGGCCATCCAAACAGGACCAAACAAGACTCGAAGGTGCCGTGTGACGACTAAAACCCTACGCATCGAGGAACATACAACATCGTTGAAACCTCTTTTGATGAAGTGCTTTCATTCAAGGTGGTAATAAAATTTTGTGGCTAGCCAAATTTCGGCTGTTGCAAATCAGACCTGCGATGTCTTGCTCTTTGTTTTGGTACATCAGACATGTATTATGACCGCAATGTGGTAGACTGTAACCACAACTTTTGGACTATCCACGCCCTACAATTTCAAGGACACATTTAAGTCAACAGTGCACAATACACCATATCTTCCACTTCAGGCAGTGTACAAACCAGCCCAGTTATCCCGTCTAAGTTCATTTTATGTCACGCAAAAGTCGATTCAGCACTCTTCTTTCATGTAACTTCCAGTCTGTGGAATAAACTCTCGATGTTGTCAGTTATCGTCAGCGAGGGTCATCGATGAACGAATAAATCTCATCATCTCGCACAAACACATCCTGCTGGTTACAAAATTCAGCAAGATGATTTTTAGTCAATTGTGCGTGTCACGATAACCTTGGAAGAATGCTACGGGTTTTCAAATCGCATACATTCATTCCGTGATCCTGCTAGACTAGACTATGTGTCCTAAGACAAGGACATAAATTGCAATATTCAGAAGATAGCTAAACAGTCGAGGGCAAGATGTTGACGCAATTCCAGCCAGACTTTGAGAATTCATACGTTCAAAGCAAAAGGATGGCCCAGGCAGGATTTGAACCCACAACTCAGTGGTCTATTGAGGGGGTTCCGGGCGACGAGGGTGGAACCCCGCCCCCGGCCTCTCCAGATCGATCATGAGTTTGCTAAACTACTGGGCCTGACATGACAAAAGTTTTGAAATCTTTATCTTTACAGACGTAGTCACTGTGCGGAACTCGTAGGCAGAGGAAGCTCGGTAAATTTGTATATAAAAGCAATAGGAGTAATTTCCCACTGGTCTACAGTATTCTTTCCTGGGGAAATGGATTAACATTCCTGAGCTGGTTGTACAACGCAAGTCTCGCACTGAGCCGCGTTCATTGACTCGTCGATAGTTCCATCCATGAAAGGCGAGAGTGGACCTTACACAAACATATTTACCCACTTCGTAAGAGTGAGAGCCGGTTGAAGACAAAATTGCAGTCTCATAGTCCGAGTATCTATTAGGAAATTCTCACAGATCGCATGATGCATCGGGAAATTCGCCAGTACCTCGTAGTAAGTCCACAGTGGCATCCACGTGAGCTTCGTGTAAATTCCATGGCAGCGTGGGACCCACTCAACTGGACCACGACGAAGGTCTGAAACAATATCCGAATGCAGGCTTCATATTTCGTGGCCAAGGCCTGTGAGACGACGGTGATGTCCCTGCCCATCCGAGTGGTGGATACGTTAATGCCATGCACAGAGCTTCAATCCTGGGGGGCACGGGAACAGCCGTGAATAAAGTGAATATAATGTTTCGAATGATTGATGAGCATTGGGAGCTGAAATTTTCATTCTATCTCGAAATATCTAAGAAGGTAATATAGTCTCGGGAACTCAGAATCGAAGGACTGTTTCCAGTTCTTTGCTGTGAGGAGTCAATCTATGTGTTGTAGCTACGTGCCACTGTTCTCTGAATGAAGGCAACTAAGCTCAGCTTTCTTTCTTGGATTTACTCTGGGCAATTACGGTCGACTTCTAAAATAAGATCCACTGCTGAGCGTTACAATCCCGGACACATGCACATGTCGACTAGAACCTACACTTCGTGTATGTTTGTCGTGTACACTTTTACGTAGATTTGGCTCAAAATTATATTGTTTCAACAGAAAATGAAACGAATTCAGTCCAATTTGACAACAATTATCTTAACAATTATCTTATCACGCGAAAATCGTCTGATCCCTGTCCATATGTCCAAGCAATTCCGTCATCATCTAAGATCTTCTATTTCCTCGAAACAATCGAATGATAGGTCTTATTTACAGAAGTTACATAGGCTGGTTATTTCTGAATTGAAGCTGTAAATATGTTCGCACAGGTTTTGAGAAAACAATATTGCTTGCAATTCAACAAGCACATTTAAACCTGCCCATTAACTTCAAATCACCCATAGCTATTTACAGGCAGCCATTTGCTTTAACACCATGACGTTGAAGAAGTATCTTTACCCCGGAAATAGTCAATGTAGAGAACTCTCTCTCTTTTCTCATTCACCTAAAGTCATTTCACAAGTCAATCCGATGTTAACCGATCTGATCACCCGAATGAGGAGGTCGTTGACATTAGTTCGGTTGGTTTCCCGATATAGACGAAAACAGCCTGGCCACTTGTCTTGCTTTCTTTCTGAGGTCACGTGAGCACACTTTCACAGTAGGGGTCCTTTCCAGGGGCCGTTTTGTTTCGATTCAATGAAAGCGCTCTAGTGACGAGTTCATGTGCGGTCAGGACATGCCGCCGTCTGGTTTAGAAAGCAGCAAGGAAAGGCACATCAGTTTGTCTCCGTTGACGAGCTACTGTCAAATATATTACGTTCCAAACGTCGAATTACATTTGACCAGCGTTGCGTTCTTAGCCACCAATCTGACACAAGTCTCCATGTTTTGGTGGCTAATGAAGGTAATGAATGACCTCGATCAAAGAGTAATCTCCCGATAGAAAAAGTGGCGGGTGAGAAGAGCTGCGACCTTCAAGTCTAAGCATGGATATACATTCTGCATACTCAGTTGGAGCGATGACGAATAATCTCTTCTGATTTTTAATTTGACCATCGGTATATCTGATACCGCTGATACATGCATGAGCACTTCACTTATCCAGCGACCAGTGCACTGTGATAAGCATTCACAACCCTACAGACGCTGGTTGTGGTCACAGTGCATGGCACTTACACTTGGATATCTTTGGACACAAAAGCCATGCATGTCTTACCTTCAAATGTTGTCCCAAAAATGTAAAAACTTATCTACTAGGACAAACGCACAGACACCGTCGGACAAGCAGCAAGACATCTCTCTATTGAAAGGATTTATCATGCAATCGACAAAGTGCGTAAAGCAAGCAAAGTCAAGTTGGTTATCCACCAGGAACAGCAAGTAGCCTTTCCGCTCCAGCCCCAACAGTTAAATGTTTGAGTGAATTCCCTTCGCTTCATAACTTTATGCTCACTTTATTCTCACGCAGCATTCTCTTGTATTTGTCGCCCCAGTCATAACTATCTAAGAAACTTGTAGATAGAAAGAATACTGTTCTGTGGGATCAGATTTAAGCCAGTAAAAGTTCTCTGACTTATCAAACTGGAAAATGAGTTTTACAAAACTTATCTTTTGGTCGAGTTCATCGTCAACGGGTGTCGCTTACAAGTGGACGATGAATTCGCAAATCCAGATTACAGGCACATCGTAGGCTTTGACTTGTACTCGTTTCAAGACCTCGTATCTCATCTGCGTGGATTTCGCCTCTTTTTACTATTTGTGTGTCATTAAGCTGAATATAAACATCAAATCAGTTTAGATTCGATTTGAAGAAAAGATTCAGACAAGCAACTGCAAACCGTTTTCTTAAGCTGATTTTAGGACCTTGAGAATATGAATGCAACGGCCTGTCTCTCACTTGGGAAATCGACGTAATCCACTGATCCAGAGTATGAAATTAATCGTCGCCGAAATTTCCACCGGTACCTTGAACCGAGTCGAGAACCTGTATTGACTTGATGAGACAGAGGGAGCATTTTCAAATTACTGGTCTATCCACTGCCTTCGCAGAAAATGAAACCCCGCTTGTAACTATGACGGGATTTGCCGTAAGAAAGCGTTTCACTTCGAGCTTTCTAAGGGCAACCACCAGAAAATCAATTTCTTCAAGTTCTCATCCAAAGGAGAGCTAGACATTTACAGCTTAGCTCATAAACCTCATAACTGATTCACTTTCCATTGAACAATCCATCATTCAAACCAGAAATGGTTTGGCATGGATTGGATTTTAAGGTTGTTCGTGCTGTTCTGGATTCGAGATAAGATGTATCTGGATCCGGAATGACCTCCAAAGAATGATGAACATCTTGTGGAAAACGGTGGTAATTTCCTGTTCAACTTTGATTTGTGCATCTATGCCCTATTGCTAACGCGGTCTCACAGCGGAGCCAGTGTCCACAAGACTAACAACTTCGTGATGTTCTATATATTTACTCTAAGCATTTTGAAGGACATAGAGTGACCTCACCTCGAAAACAAGC